ACTTTTTGGGTGGCATGCCTATTTAATATTTAATAAAAAAATGGATTGGGTTTTTAAATCTCATATTTTAAGAATCTCTTTACTTAGGACTTGGAGAAAATATTATAAAAGTGATTTTAAAGTTCCATTATGGGCTATACCTTGGCATGCGATAGAAGGAATAAAAAGAGGTGTAAGAATGGATATGGTGTCTTATAGTCAGCTACTTAGATGGGATGGGCAAAACTGGCAGTTAAGATTACGGGAAGACTTAGCGCAAGAAAATATTATTTATTCTTGGTTCCAATATAGGCAACTAGTAGATAAATGGAAGGTGGATTGTAAATTGGGTTTTCTTAGAGAAGATGAAAATCTTATTAAGCAAGTTAAGGATCAAAGACAAACCCATATTAAGAGAATCTATGGGGTATTAGTTGAAATGGATTCAGAATCGGAATTAATTAAAGACTGTATGATTAGATGGGCGCAGAATTTTGGTGTCCCAGTCTCATTGGATATCTGGGAAACCATCTGGGTGAGAAATGTCAAATTTACACAAGCACAGAACTTAAGGGAGAATTTTTATAAAATGTTTTATAGATGGCACCTTGATCCACAAAAAATGTCTCTTATGTACCCTGACATACAACCCAAATGTTGGAGATGTGGCTATATGGATGCTTCTTATTATCATATTTGGTGGTCATGTAGAGAGATAAAAGCATTTTGGATTAAGATATGGTGGAATATCCAGAGAATTTTTAAAAGGAGGGTAAAATTTACTCCGCAATTATTCTTGCTGGGTATAGTTACAGATTGTGATACAAAGGAGGTTGTATTGATGTTAAATTTGATTACAGCCGCGAGGCTGTTAGTTGGACAATACTGGAAGAAGGAGTCTTTGCCTACATTGCAGGAATGGTTTCTTAAAGTAGCTTATTTGGCGGAAATGGCAAAGATTTCGGCTTTCCTAAAGCAACAAACGCAAGAGAAGTTTCTTGTCGTTTGGGATAAATGGATAAAATTTATACAATTTAGATTGGGTACAAAAAAATATTATATAGCTTTTTCATAATTTTTATCTTTATATATAGAGAGATATATATACTTATATATATATTTTAATGTTACTTATAGATATTATATAAATTTTTTAACTTAATTTTTTATTTGTTAATTTTCAATTAAGCCTATATTCTGCTCTGGGAAGCTCAGGGGGGGGGAAGGGAGGGTTTATGGCAAGGGGTGGGGGATGGGGTTTTTTTTTATATGTAATGTTTAGGTTTTTTTTTGTATATGTTGTTTTCGTTTTGTATTGTTTTTGTCTTTTTGTAAAATTTATAAAACTTTCAATAAAAAAAAATAGAGTAGAGTAATATTTTATTTTAAGTAGGATAACTATTTTGTAGTGGAAGAAGCAATAAGAGAGATTTGTGATAAGAGAAGAATTGGTACTAATTAATGATCTATTAAACTAAGAAATAGAATATATCTGGAAATATTAGAATGTTACTGTCGGAATATTATGTGTATTGTAGAAGGGATACCCGAAATGCTAATAATATGTTTATTCAAGATTAAATTGGATTATGGTAATTGTAAATTAGTAAAGCTTAAAAACAGGATTTGGATTTACATAGATGTAATATAGAAATGGATTAACCTAAATATGTTATACTATTTGAGGGAAATTGAGAGGGAACATTTAATGAATTAATTTGAGTTTATATATATATAAAAAGAAAACAAATATCAAATATCAGAAAACAAATATCAAACCTCTACGGGGAGGAAATCCACCATCTGACCAGGACCTATGAAAAACTTGAAGTCCAAAGAGCTTGAAGTCCAAAGAGCTTCCATTTTATGCATTCCTACGCAACTGCCGAGATCAAAATCTAATCCCCACATGTTTCCAACTGAAATTCCACTCCAACTCTGCAGCCACCAAACGGATCCTGAAAAGAACAGAATTGGCCCTAATCAGAAATGAACTTCACACAAAAAGATTCCTCCTAGACAGAATTAACAAAGATCTCCTCATACTCCACCTCAAACTCAGCAACAAGATCCACCCCGCACTTTGGGACAAATCCAAACAACTCGCCGTCTGGAGAGCCGAAACACAGACCACCCTCAAGACAGATACACACACCAACAAACTCCGAAGACTACAAGAACGCCAAAAACAAACCCCTCCTCCCTCACAGCCACACATGAAACAAACAGTGCATAACATCTCAGATAGGATCCTCACCAAAGCCGAAACCAATGTCCTTTCCAAAGGATTCAACTTTGCAGTCGCTCCCAAACACATCCCCACTGAAACCATTATATGTGGAGTTGAAACCAGCCTGACCAAAATCAACCCCGACGACGCTAACAGAATCAGACTCGAAATCACCAACATCCTCTGCACCAGCAAGCCACCCAAAAGCAACTTACCCAAAGAGGAACAGACAGCACTACATAACCTGAAAGAAGACACCAGCATAATAATCCTACCAGCAGACAAGGGCAACGCCACGGTGGTTATGAACACATCTGACTACCAAACCAAATTAACCAACCTACTCCAAGACTCCACATACAAACCCCTAAATACAGATCCCACCACCTACCTGGAAAAAACCACCAGATCCAAAATAAAAGCCTCCCCCATTAGCGAAGAGATCCAGCAAAGAATCATTCCCAGAGAGAAATCATCCAGATGCCCCAAACTCTATGGTCTCCCCAAGATACACAAAGAAGGAACCCCACTCAGACCTATAGTCAGCTCCATAGGCTCACCTCTACAAAACCTAGCCAAATTTCTCGCCAAACAACTACAGCCCTATGCAGAATCCATCACCTCACACGTAAAAAACTCATTCCAGTTTATAGAGATCATAAAGAAACAAAACTTACAGCCCAGCGACCTACTAGTGAGCTTCGATGTCATATCCCTCTTCACCCAAGTGCCTATCAAAGAAGCCTTGACAGCTATTCAAAACAAATATAACCCCCCCAAACACATCTTAGATCTGACCAACCACTGCCTATCCAACACATACTTCATCTATAATGGACAAAAATACAAACAAACAGAAGGAGCACCCATGGGATCACCCCTCTCATCTGTCATTGCCAACCTCTACATGGAACACTTTGAAACCCAAGCTCTAGAAAAATCGGATCACAAACCCAAACTCTGGCTCAGATACGTAGACGACACCTTCATAATCTGGCCACATGGGAAAGAAAAACTGGAAAACTTCCTCACACACCTCAACAGCCTACACCCCAAAATACAGTTCACCATGGAAACAGAAGCTAACAACCAACTTCCCTTCCTGGATGTCTTAGTCTACAAGAAATCCAATGGCTCCCTAGGACACACCATCTACCAGAAGAAAACACACACAAACCGCTATCTGCACGCTCTCTCACACCACCACCCAGCACAGATCAACTCTGTAGCCAAGACACTCATCTCCAGAACAAAACGCTTAGCTGACGAACAACACCTAAAAACCGAACTACACACTCTCATCAATGTACTAACATCCAATGGATTCCATAGAAATAAGATTACAAACCTAATCCAAAAAGGAACCCCCTCTAAAATCCAAGACAAAGAACAAGAAAACGGCAAAGCCCTCCTCCCATACATAAAAGGCACCACAGACAGAATCAGTAAGATCCTCCATAAACACAACATCAAAACAGCATTCTGCACAAACAGAAAAATATCCACCATCCTTAGAAACCCCAAAGATAAAATTGAATTAGAAAATCAAGGAGTATACGAAATCCCATGCACCACTTGTCCCACCACATACATCGGACAAACCAACAGAAGAATAAGTGCACGCATTGAAGAACATAAGAACTCAGTCAAAAAAGAGGAACCAACATCTTCCCTGGTCCAACACCTTAAAGCCACAGGACATGAAATTGACTTTAAAAATACCAGAACCATTGCCAAAAGTGAACATTTTAGTAACAGAATAATCAGAGAAGCCATCGAGATAGAAAAACGCCCACACAGCATGAACAAGCGAGATGATACCTCCCGCCTACCAGCCATTTGGAAACCCGCCCTTATTGACAAACGACTCCCTAACACAAAAAATGATACCAGACCCACACTCACAAAAACCACACAGGAGGTCACCACCACACATCCACGCAAAAAGCAAACCCAAAGCCACACCGATGACGAGGCACGACCACAAACCAGAAGCCAGACCACAGCTGCATCATTAGACAGTTTAAACCCCTCCAATCCATACATGAAGCAAACTGACACCCTCCATGAAGAGGAAGCACGACCATGAACGCGAAGCCAAAAAATAGCAAGGCAGCCCAAAATCTCAAACCCCTCTGCAACTCAGACTAACCTGAGCACAACCAAACAGAACACTCCCCCAGCCAATCAGAGCACAGCCAAGCCCCTAACCATTCAGAACACACCTCCACCCAATCAGAACACAGCCAAGCTCCCATCCAATCAGTTCATACCCCCACTGGCTGTTAAAAGGAAGAAACAGCTAAGACCACACATTGCTGCTCAAAGCACGAAGCTGAAAACACCAGCCTGAAAATGACGAATGGGACTTCGTCGAAATGTCGCCAAGACACTTCCAATTTTACATGGGAGAAAACCCGAACAACCAAAGACCTACATACAAATACCCACGAAAACCTCAGAGAAAACACACACACACACACACACACACACACATAAATTTTGTCTTTGGATGATTGATTACCCCATCCCCACGGTGTTTCTTGAGCACTTTGATGTAAAAATTAAAAAACTAATAAAACTTGTTTATAAAAAAAAATTAAAAAAAATGAAAGATTGGACAATCATTTATCTGGGATGCAGTAAGGATCCATGGATAGGGGGTTGGACTAGACGACCTCTAGGGTCCCTTCCAACTCATTATTCTATTAGCTTAATCTTTTGTGCCTTGAGTTAAAGTTCAGGTTGATTTGCTTGATATTAATAATGCTTCTGTGTGTTTTAATTTCAGGTAAACCAGCTATAGCTCATAGAGACTTGAAATCAAAAAACATATTAGTGAAGAAAAATGGAACATGTTGCATTGCAGATTTAGGTCTGGCAGTGAGACATGATTCAGCTACAGATACAATAGATATTGCACCAAATCACAGAGTGGGAACAAAGAGGTAAACTGATGCTCTTTTAATGGAATATTTTAAATAATTCAAATTGAAGTTAAGCTAATGAGTAGATGTTAAAGATAGTTATTCCTACAGCAGTAGGAAAAAGTCTGTTGAACTCATTAGAATCTTGCAGTAATGTGACCTATAGTGTGATCAGAGCTTCTAAGTTCTATTAATTAATAGATAAAAAGATTCTGGTTATATATTTCACAAACTTTCTCTTACTACTACATTATGAAAACCAGTATGATTAAATGTGCCTCATATTGAACATGGATTTGGAATTCACACAAATAAGTATGAACTCATTTGAAAATTACTACTTATCATCCTAACTTATTGAATACAATTAAAAAGATCAACACACATGCTCATAAATGAGAGGAAATAATATACTTTGCCTCATCTTTCTCTCTTTATTGTTCTCCAGTAAGTGTTCTAGAACTGCTGAGTAATGCCTTCTCTTTAAGAATGAAGGCATAAGTGATCGAAAGGTGACCCTCTTTTCCACAGAGCAATAAATAAAATAGAGAAAAAAGATGCATCTTTGGACTTGCATTTTTCTATCATTCTTGGTAACCTATTAACATGTAAACTTTTTATCTTAGAAATTCATGTAAATTTTAATGAGGAATCAAGTTTCTTTTAAATCTGTATGAGCCTTGTTTTAACCAATGGCAGATACTTTATCTGAAATATGCTGTATTACTTTAGTTTCCAGATGAAATTGTATAAGCAACAATAAAATTCCAGTGTAGTTTTCTCTGACAAACGAGTTTTCTGTATGGAGTTTTTTGTCAGAAAAAACCTTCATCTGCTGCCTTTTACTGCAAAAATCAATTATTTCCTCATTTAATCTATTAGTTATTCATCTTGCTCAATGCTTTATTTTTCTAGAAATCTTAACAGCAGATTCTATTCAGTCATAGAAGTAATTAAAACATAACATTATATGTAAAGTAGCCCTGCCAGGTGGCAGCAGATAGCCAGAAATGCTGCTTTGCTTGTGGTTTCTTGCCTATTTGGGAATAGCCACATACTATAGAGTCAGTAGATTAATGCTCTAAAAGCAATCTTGAATAGATATATAAGATTTTGATTTTATAAATCAAAATTTTCAAAAGTTGTCGTGTGGACTTAATAGTAGTTAGGACTTCAAAATCAATGATATATTAGTGTAAATTACTGTGCTTAATTTAGCCTGCAACAATAACTGGTTTAGTTTTCCAATGCTAATTTTGTTTTTAAAAAGTGAGATTTTTGTACTTCATTGGAGTAGTCACTAATAGTACACAGTATATAGTTCAGATGGTTATTTTGTAGAATTGAATTGATGAAGTGCTTACAGATGCTTATGATGCCTTAAAAATAAAATTAAATAATGTTCAAGCAGCATTGCTTTATAAATACATTTTGGTCTTTATATTCATAGGTACATGGCTCCTGAGGTACTTGATGATTCAATAAACATGAAGCATTTTGAATCTTTCAAAAGAGCAGATATTTATGCAATGGGACTAGTGTTTTGGGAAATAGCTCGTCGATGTTCAATTGGTGGTAGGTTCAAATCGAAAAACAAATTAACTTCATTCAGTGTCAGAAATGAACCTTAAATTGTATATTGGTTTATATATCTCAGGAATCCATGAAGATTATCAGTTACCATATTACGACCTTGTCCCTTCTGATCCTTCAGTTGAGGAAATGAGGAGAATTGTTTGTGAACAGAAATTACGACCCAATACTCCAAATAGATGGCAAAGTTGTGAGGTAAATTCTTTTCTTTAGATAAGTTTTAGAATACTTTTAAAAACAAACCAATATTTTAAAAACATCAATATTTTGATTTTAGAATTTGAATTAAAAGAAGTATGAATGTCAGGACAGTTCTATTTAATATTATAGACTCATATTTTGTGGATAAATATATTTAAAATTCTTTGCTATATGATATCAAATAATGGCTCAAACTATTTCCTGTTTTGTTTATTTGCAGGCATTACGAGTAATGGCCAAGATTATGCGAGAATGCTGGTATGCCAATGGTGCAGCTAGACTAACAGCTTTACGCATAAAGAAAACTATGTCACAACTCAGTCAGCAAGAAGGAATAAAAATGTGATTTTGGAAATAGTGTTCAAGAAAACATTTGAATATCTATATGTGCACCTGACTTGTACATTAAACATTGTTCTACCTCACTGAGGGAACAGAAGAATATTACTGCCTTTTATACAATAAGATAATCAACCATTAATCCAAGATTTCTCTAAATGCAGTAAACTGTTGTACAGATTCTTAATTCTTTTTTTTTAAAATCACATTAGTATCTATTATACTGAAAACAAAAAATAAGCTTGAGAGTGGAACTTGTGTATGCCATGTATGGTGCTGAAGGACAGTATGAAAGATATGATCATGAGGGTACGCTGTATATTGTCAAATTGTTTTGTCTGATTTTAAGATGCTATTGAATGCCTTTCATTGAAACTTGCATACATGACCTTATTGCATCTGGAATACACACGTAATTTATGCATTACTTTGTATTATATGTCTGTCTTTTACATCAGATCATAACTTGCCTTTAAAACCATTCTACTGTATAAATGCCATTTTTAACTTTTCTTAATGCAGTCCATTAGGATATACAAAATCTTTAATCCTTGTGAAATGATAGTAAATCTACATTCATCAATTTGCTGTCTTCTACATACATTGATATTATCAAATTCCTGGATTTCCCAGGCAGCATTGCCAAATTCCTGCTAATTGGGAATCCTAACTTACAAGATGGTATCAGGTTATATTAAATGATTTGAACTGAAGTATATAGATTAATTCTGTGCTATTCCTATGCTTTATATATCACAATGAACAGGGATGTCGAATATGGAATTCTGAAAGAGCTTTACCTGGAAAAAATACTTTGATGTCATTTTTACATTCATATGAACACTAACCTCTTAAAATAAATCCTCTTAAATATTCTGTCAGAAAAAATATTTCACATTGTTCTTTCTATGCAATGAAAACTGCTTTGCTAAAATTTGATCCTTGCTAAATGCTTTCCTGATGATAATCAATGTAGAAAAATATGATTTGTGATAGTCTTACTGGATTCAATCTATATGTGCCAAATAGGAATTTCCTAGTACAGTGGGGCAAAAAAGTATTTAGTCAGCCACCAATTGTGCAAGTTCTCCCACTTAAAAAGATGAGAGAGGCCTGTAATTGTCATCATAGGTAGACCTCAACTATGAGAGACAAAATGAGAAAACAAATCCAGACAATCACATTGTTGAATTTGGAAAGAGTTTATTTGCAAATTATGGTGGAAAATAAGTATGTGGTCAATATCAAAAATTCATCTCAATACTTTGTTATATATCCTTTGTTGGCAGTGACAGAGGTCAAACGTTTTCTGTAAGTTTTCACAGGTTGGCACACACTGTTGCTGGTATGTTGGCCCATTCCTCCATGTAGATCTCCTCTAGAGCAGTGATGTTTTGGGACTATTGCTGGGAAACATGGACTTTCAACTCCCTCCAAAGGTTTTCTATGGGGTTGAGATCTGGAGACTGGCTAGGCCACTCCAGGACCTTGAAATGCTTCTTATGAAGCCACTCCTTCGTTCTCCGGGTGGTGTGTTTGGGATCATTGTCATGCTGAAAGACCCAGCCACGTTTCATCTTCAATGCTCTTGCTGATGGAAGGAGGTTTGCACTCAAAATCTCATGATACATGGCCCCATTCATTCTTTCCTGTACACGGATCAGTCGTCCTGGTCCCTTTGCAGAGAAACAGCCCCAAAGCATGATGTTGCCATGCTTCACAGTAGGTATGATGTTCTTTGAAGGCAACTCAGCTGCATCGATGACTGCTCCATCGAACTGGTGCCTGGAGCCAAACTCCCACGATTGAGGATGTATGCTATGTCCCCTCTCGAAATGGAAGAGATGCAGCGATACATGAACAAAAACCTAGCGGGGTTTATCGAATGGGCCAAATCTTCTGTGGGAGCCCCTGTGTTGTTCAAAGAGAAAAAAGATGGGTCTCTTCGTCTCTATGTAGACTATCTCAATGCTGTGAGTGTGGAAAATAAATACCCCCTCCCCCTCCTAAAGGATTTATTGACCCATCTGGCTAAGGGGAGTGTCTTCACTAAGTTAGACTTAAGAGAGGCATACTACCTGGTGAGAATAAAAGAGGGAGACAAGTGGAAAACTGCCTTCAACTGTCCTATGGGAAGCTATCAGTTCAAAGTCATGCCATTTGGACTACAGGGGGCCCCAGCTGTATTTATGCAGTTGATTAATGAGGTTCTACATGATCACTTGTACAAAGGGGTTTTGGTGTATCTTGATGATATCCTGATGTACAGCACGAATATGACTGATCACATAAAGCTAGTGAAAGAAGTGTTAAACTATTGAACGACAAGCTTTATGTCAAATTGTCGAAATGTGAATTTCACCAAACCCGATTAGACTATCTTGGCTACTGAATTTCCAACGAGGGTATTGAAATGGATCCAGCCAAGGTGAAAACTATAATCGAATGGCAGCCCCCAAGGACTCGCAAACAACTCCAGAGTTTTCTGGGCTTTGCCAACTTTTATCGTTAATGCATCCCCTCTTTTGCCGAGATTGCCCTACCTCTTACAGAACTACTCAAAACAGGCAAAGGAGGAGGGAAGCCACAACCAGACCAACCACTAGCATGGACAATGAGCTGTCAAACAGCTTTTGAGAATTTAAAGAGACTATTTGCCGCTGAACTGGTTCTAAAGCACCTCTACCCAGGGGAACCCTTTGTGATTCAAGCTGATGCCAGTGATGTGGCAGTTGGAGCTGTGTTACTGCAAAAAAACAAAAATGGGATCCTGCAACTCTGCACCTACACCTCTAAGAAATTACTGAGAGCGAGCGGAGATGGGCAATCTGGGAAAAAGAGGCCTTCGCGATTAGATGGACGTTATTAAACAGGCGACACTATCTGGAAGGGAGCAATGAAAGGTATGGACAGATCAGAAAACCTAGAAGCACTGAAAACTCCCCGCAAATTGTCCCCAAAGCAAGTACGGTGGGCACAGTACTTTAACTCCTTCAACTTCACTCTAAAGTACATACCAGGAGGAAAGAACTTCCTAGCTGATGCGCTATCCCGGTTACCCCAGTACAAAAGCAAACAAGAGCAGGTTAACGAGGTGATTATTCCCAATCCACAAACTGTCGCTCAACTTACACCTCACAGGGTCCCCAATCCTGATGACCCTGGAACGAAGAAAATAAAACAAGAGCTCCTTACCGACCAATGGTTCAGAGATAATCAAGCGTCCCTAACATGCAGGGATGGCTTGGCTTACAAAGGGGGGAAGCTATACTTGCCAGAAGCGCTCCGTCTTAATGCTCTCAAGCACAGCCATGATGTAAAGTTTGAAAACCCTACAACTCACCCGCCGGCAATTCTGGTGGCCGGGGCTGAAAACGGATGTGGAAAACTATGTAAAAAGTTGTACTGTATGTGCCACAATGAAAAGAATGCTGGGAAAAACTCCTGGGTTACTAACCCATGGCAGACCCTTCTCAACCCTGGGAAGAAATAGCTATGGACTTTATAGTAGACCTACCTGAAAGTAGTAGAAATACTGTCATCTGGACTGTAATAGACTTGTTCTCGAAGCAGGCTCATTTCATCGCCTGCAAAGGACTCCTACCTGCCCAACGACTGACCAAACTGTTCCTGGAACATATTTACCGGCTGCATGGCGACCCTAAGCAAATAATTTCAGAAGGGGGTGGAGTTCACAACAAAGTTTTGGAGAAGTTTTCTTAAATTAATTGGATCATCTCAAGGTTTATCATCTGCTTTTCATCCGGCCACCAATGGGGCCGCAGAAGCCGCTAACAAAATGGTGGAGCAATATGTTAGATGCTACGTTTCTTACCAACAGACGAACTGAACTGATCTCCCTTTTGTGGAGGTGGCATACAATAATTCTGTACACAGCAGCACTGGCTACACACCTTTCAGAGTGGCCACAGGAAAAGAGTTCAACCCAATATCTGAATATCCTCAGTTGCCCTCCGTTTCCCAGACACTTGATCAGTGGGTGAGAGGGTGGGAAGAAGTTTGGAAAAACACAAAAATTGCTTTAAAATAGACTTTTGAGACCTATAAAAAGCAGGCTGATAAAAAGAGGGCTCCCCAAAGAATATTCCAAGTTGGGGAAAAGGTCTATCTGTCAACTAAATATCTACGCCTCAAATTGCCCAGCAAGAAATTGGGACCAAAATTCTTGGGGCCTTTCCCCATAGTAAGGATCATCAACCCGGTCACAATAGAACTAAAACTCCCTAGAATTTTAGGGAAAATTCACTCAGTTTTCCATTATAGTTTGTTGAAGCCTTTATCGGGGCTCCACTTTAAGACCACCTCCGAAGAAGGTGCCTGGGCCCCTCGTAGTCACAGGACAGACCCACTATGAAGTAAGACGTATTCTTGATTCTAGAATTTTTAAAGGAAAATTGCAGTACCTAGTCTAATGGAAGGGATATCCATTGTCTGAAGCCACCTGGGTGAAATCCAGTGAAGTGAAAGCTGACAGATTGGTCAAAAGGTTTCATATGAAACACCCCAACAAACCAAAAGATAACCCTTAACACATGCTTTTGTTTACTTTACAGGATCTGTCCTTCTTGTAAGGGGGGCCGGATGTCAACGCTACAAATATTGTATATTCTTGCTTTTGACAATATGTAGAATTGTCTGGTAATTATGGGATTAATACAGAGCAGAAGGGGCGTTGGGGGTAAAGCCCAGGAAAAAAAGAGGAAGAAAACATTTGACCTTCACACTAATTGGATAATGTGAGATATGACGGGTAATTTAGGGAGGGAATATGCTGATAATTTAACTGCTCAGAGGAAGAGAACTTAGATCCTAGCATCCCTCCGTTGTGCCTGTGCCGACATTTTGTAACAATAAAAGACTTTTAGGAAAATAAATGCCTGGAAGTTCTTTGGAATGTTTCATTAGCCAGAACCACAACATTAGCATTCTCTCTCCTCCAAACACGATGAGTTGTGTTTCTACCAAACAGTTCTACTTTGGTTTCATCTGACCATATGACGTTCTCCCAATCCTCTTCTGGATCATCCAAATGCTCTCTAGCAAACTTCAGATGGGCCCAGACATGTACTGGCTTAAGCAGGAGGACATGTCTGGTACTGCAGGATCTGAGTCCCTGGCGATGTAGTGTGTTACTGATGGTTGTCTTTGTTACGTTGGTCCCAGTTCTCTGGAGGTCATTCACTAGGTCCCCCTGTGTGGTTCTGGGATTTTTGCTCACCGTTCTAGTGATCATGTTGACCCCACGGGGTGAGATCTTGCGTGGAGCCCCAGATCGAGGGAGATTATCAGTGGTCTTGTATGTCTTCCATTTTCTGATTAGTGCTCCCACAGTTGATTTCTTCACACCAAGCTGCTTGCCTATTGCAGATTCAGTCTTCCCAGCTTGGTGCAGGTCTACAATTTTGTTTCTGGTGTCCTTCGACAGCTCTTTGGTCTTCACCATAGTGGAGTTGGGAGTGTGACTGTTTGAGGTTGTGGACAGGTGTCTTTTATACTGATAACGTTCAAACAGGTGCCATTAATACAGGAAATGAATGGAGGACAGAGGAGCCTCTTAAAGAAGTTACAGGTCTGTGAGAGCCAGAAATCTTGCTTGTTTGTAGGTGACCACATACTTATTTTCCACCATAATTTGCAAATAAATTCTTTCCAAATCAAACAATGTGATTGTCTGGATTTGTTTTCTCATTTTGTCTCTCATAGTTGAGGTCTACCTATGATGACAATTACAGGCCTCTCTCATCTTTTTAAGTGGGAGAACTTGCACAATTGGTGGCTGACTAAATACTTTTTTGCCCCACTGTATCTAGAGTTGTTTATGTGGTTTTGGTCAATACATAATTCTTAATGTTGGCTTTCATTGACTG